CACACCGCTGCTCGCTGCTTCCGTCACCTGGACGACCTCTACTGTCGTCACTTCGGCCCGCAGGTGCAGATTCCCCCCTAGCCGGTCTTGCTTCGTCGTGGATTTCCTATGTTTGATATGGATATGATTCAGATTGACCATGCCTTATATTCTCTATATTCTGATGCTTCTAGTATTGCTAGCTTTTATTATCCTGGTGTTTGTAGCCTTGGAGCTACTGCTGTGTGTAGTCTAGGATTACCTGCTGCGTCAGGCGTAGGACCTGTTAGAGACTCTTCACCGGGCCGTGCCTCGTCGGACCTCTCCTTTGTCTTAGACTCTAGAGCGTCTCGGTGCTTCTTTCGAGACAGTACTGCTTTCACCCCGCTTCCTACGCCTGTCCGCGTTGCACTAGTAGACTCCTCCGCCACGGCTGTCGCACGTAGCACCACTACTCTTCCCTGTCCGGCTGTCCCTTCCGGCTCCCTCACAGGTCTGCACATCCCCTCGTTTGCTAGGAACTTAGTGGGTGTCGGTCACCTCCAGGACCGAGGCGTCACCACTACGTTCCCTGGCCGCGTTTTGAGACACGCTGCTTGCACAGACACAGTCACCGGTCAACACTTAGCTACCTTTGAGCGTGACCCTGGATCAGGTCTCTTTACCTTGCACACTGAGTCCCCGCTCACTGCTGCATCTGCCGAGGTCGCCGCGTCGTGCTTCTGTCGCTCACTAGCCCACCCGACCCTTCTGTGGCACCACCGCTTAGGTCACCCTGCACTCCCGCGTCTTAGGCACATGTCCCAGTACTGTCTAGTCACTGGTCTCCCTGCGTCGCTCCCCGCCTTTCCTCCATCGGTAGCGCCACTGTGCACCTCCTGCGTCGAGGGCTGGAAGCGCGCCGCCCCTCACTCCTCCTCATTTCCTCCTACCGCAGCATCGCTACAGACACTGCACATGGACGTCTGGGGCCCTGCCCCGTTCCATGGTCTCAGTCGGGAGCGCTACTTCCTAGTCGTCGTTGACGACTTTTCGCGGTTCACCACAGTTTTTCTCGTTGGAGCAGAAGGCCGACGTGCCGACCGTTCTCCTCCCGTGGCTTCTCACTGTTCGCACCGCCCACCGCCTGTCTATAGGTTGCTTACACCTTGACCGCGGTGGTGAGTTCGCCTCTGGCTCTCTAGGACGGTTCTGTCGTGCGGAGGGCATCTGCCAGACGTACACACTGCCGGACTCCCCACAACAGAATGGGGTCGCTGAGCGACGCATCGGCCTGATCATGGAGGTGGCTCGCACCTCCATGGTCCACGCCGGTGCACCCCATTTTCTGTGGACGTTCGCCGTGCGCTACGCTACTCACCAGCTTAACCTGTGGCCGCGCTCCCATCGACCACAGGTTTCGCCGACCCTTCTCTGGACCGGGTCTCCTGGTGACGCGTCTGCGTTCCACGTCTGGGGCAGCCTTGCTCACGTCCGCGATATTGTCGCGGACAAGCTCTCAGCCCGCACTCTTCCTTGTGTCTTCTTGGGGTTCCCGCTTGACGCCTCTGACTGCCTGTTCTACCACCCCGCCAGACCACCGTTTTTACCACTCTTGTGACGTCACCTTCGACGAGACGCTCCCCTACTACCGGCGCTTCCCGCACCGCAGTGCTCTTGTGCCTCCTCCTCCTCTCTTCCTTGTCCCTGCCCCCCCTGCCGCACCCCTCCCGCCCCGCCCGGCCCAGTCTGGTGTCTCCCACGCCACTAAGTTCCCCTCGGTTCCCCCTGTGGGGGAGTCGGCTGACTCTGGGGGCCCAGCTGCTGGGGGTGCGCCTGCTCTCCCTGTGGCGCCTCCCCCAGCCTCGGTCCCCCAGGCCCCTCAGCCGCCTGCTCCCTTGCCTCAGCAGCAGCAGTCGTCGCCGCCTCAGCAGCAGGGAGCAGTGGGCTCTGGGGGTGCTGGTTCTGTGGGTGCTGGTTCTGGGGGTGCGAGTTCTGGGGGTGCTGACTCCAGGGGGTGCTGGTTCTGTATGTGGTGAGACCAAGGGTGCTAGTCTTGCGGGTGCTGTTTTGCGGTGTGCGGGTGGCAGCTGGGGTGCCATTGGAGGTCCTGGAGCGGAAAGGCAGCAGCAGCAGCAGCAGGTGCAGCAGCCGCAGTCTGCCCTTCGTCTCCTTTGTCTTGCTCCAGGTTCCCCTGTCAGCCCGCCCGTTCCCCCTCCAGTGCGTGACCCTGTTTTCGGCCCGTTGTTTCCTCCTCCGGACTCTTCTCTGGCTCGTTTCACCCCGCGCTCCCCTCCGTCCTCTGACCTGTCCCCCGTCCCCCCTCGTCCCCAGTCCCCAGTACTTCCCCACTGGGTTCGTCGCCCCTCTGGTGCTCGTCCTTTCTCTCCCCGTCCTAGTGTCCACCCTATGCTCCTTCGTTCGTGTGCTCCTCCCGTCACAGTCCTCCTGTTGCCTCCCCGGTTGTCGCTACCGTCGTCCCCCCCTCCTCTCTCCGACGCTGTTCGCACTGCTCGTCCAATCTTGTCGTGCCTGCTTGCGTCACTTGTCACTGACCCTAGTGCTCCTCCTGAGTCTGTCTTCGCGCTGGTCACTGCTGTCGCTGACTTTGCTGCTAGCCACCGCCTTGACTACGCTGCCGCTCTGGTCTCTGGTACTGTCTGTCCTCCGTCCATCGAGGGTGCACCTGCCCTTGGCAGTGACATACTAGAGGACAGGCAATACGAGTTGGCCTACCTTGCTGCCGCTGTTCCCCATCTTTGCTCCATGCTTGTATCCCCAGAGGGCGACCCAGACGCTCTCGACATCCCTGTTCCGTACGCTGAGGCGGTGTCGGGGCCCTGGGCAGCCCAGTGGATACAGACCATGGAGACTGAGATGGCATCCTACAGATCCACTGGCACCTACGTCGACGCATTTCCTCCGCCTGGGGCGAACGTATTCGATGGCATGTGGATCCACAGGGTGAAGCGCGCACCTGGAGAGCCGCCAAAGTTCAAAGCGCGTTATGTGGCTAGAGGCTTCAGTCAGCGTGAGGGAGTGGACTTCTTCCAGACCTTCTCCTCGACCCCGAAGATGACTACTCTTCGGGTCCTTCTTCACGTAGCCGCACAGCGTGACTACGAGCTTCACTCACTCGAAATCTCCACAGCGTTCCTGCAGGGTAGTCTACACGAGCAGATCTACCTCCGACGCCCTCTAGGCTTATCTGGGTCCTTCCCACCTGGGACCCAGTGGAGCCTTCGTCGTCCTGTCTACGGCCTTCGTCAGGCACCCCGTCAGTGGCACGACACGCTTCGCACCACTCTTGCTGAGCTGCAGTTCTTTCCGTCCTCTGCTGACCCCTCTCTCTTTGTTCGCACGGGTCAGACACCGTTCTACATTCTAGTGTATGTAGACGATCTTATCTTTGCTACTCCCGATAGAGTCGCACTGGCCTCAGTGAAGGCCGAGTTACTTAGGAGACACACCTGTATAGACCTGGGGGAGCTGAGGCGCTATCTGGGCTTGGATATCTCTCGTGACCGCGCCGCTCGCACGATCACACTCTCTCCGAGTCCCATATGGTGCAGCAGATCCTCCAGAGGTTTAGTCTCCAGTTCTCCTCAGCACAGCCCACCCCCCTGCATGTGGATCACAAGCTCTCTGCTCCTATTCCGGCTGAGCCGGTCGAGGCTAGTGGTCCATATGCAGAGCTGGTGGGGTGCCTCATGTATCTGATGACCTGCACTCGACCAGATCTAGCGTACTCTCTCAGTCTCCTGGCTTGCTTTGTCGCGACAGGCAGGCACCGACCAGTCCACTGGTCGGCTGCCAAGAGGGTACTGCGGTATCTGGCAAGCACATCAGGACTGGGGTTTGTGCTAGGAGGACGGGAACGAGTGGTGCTCACTGGACACACTGACACGTCGTGGGCAGATGACTTGGAGACGCTCAGGTCGACTCAGGGCTACTGCTTTAGTCTTGGTGCTGGTGCAGTCTCGTGGAGGTCCACCAGGTCATTGTCTGTAGCTCAGTCCAGCTATGAGCCAGAGATCTACGCTGGGGCCATGGCTGCTCAAGAGCTCCGCTGGCTGATGTTCTTGCTCACTGACTTAGGTGAGCAGCCTAGGTCTGCCCCGGTCCTGTTTGCTGACAACATGGCCATGATCCTCTTGTGTCAGGAGGCACGACTTGAGGGCAGAGCGAAGCACATCCAGCTGCGGTACTTCCTGATGCGAGAGTTGCTGCAGCGGGGTCAGGTCCGTGTAGTACTGTTGGCCTCAGAGGCCAACACCGCTGATATCTTCACCAAGGCACTTGCATCTCGTGACCATCAGCGGTACTGTACTCATCTTGGTCTAGCCTCAATAGCAGCACCTCTCCTTGTATCCTAAGTCATACTATACCTGCCTGTACTTGTTGTGTTATACCTGCTTGTCTTGCTACACTTGCTGATTGGCCTTGTGGCCTCTTGTCTCAGTGGTCAGACTAGTAGTATTGCCTTGAGTTTTCTTATTACACTCATCAGAGTTCGGACTAGTAGTGCTGCCCTGGTGTACTTTTCTTGTTAGGAACTACCACTATCTTGGCTAGGGGGTGTGTCAACAAATATAATTGTCTATGCTAGGTACAGTATATTTGTTATAGCCTTAGTTAGGTCAGTTCTTAGAGGGTACATTCCCACCTCTGTAACCCTCAGCCTTCCTCCCTTAGTCACTTTTCTCTCGGCATTCTAACAGATCTCCCTACTCGTGATTTCATTTTAAGACTAGAAAGAATGAGTAGAGGGGAGAACATGGGAGATATAGTGTTTGGGTTGCACCCACTAAGAATATACCCCATCTAGCCTATAACTTCTACATAACAATATATGTATAAGTTGACAGTAACTCCCCCTTCATGTATCTCTCACTTCCTCTTTGTCCACCTTTTCTCTCGTAATTCTGCCCACTAGCTAAACCTCTCGACCTCCTATGGTATGTGTAGCCTAGTCCCTTAGCTTATTCGACAGAAGGGCCTGCTCTGAAACCATGTTTAAAAGGCGTTAGGAGCTAAGTGAGATAGCCATGAGAAAATAGTCCAGAGGTTTAGCTAGGGGGGAAGAGTAACGAGAGAAAAGGGAAAGAGATACAAGAAGCGGGGGTTGTCCCCTCTCCGTACGATCTAGTAAAGTAGCACACCTACCAAGCCTAAACAAATATATTTATATATATAATATATATAATTTGACACTTATTTCTGACATTCAACCCAAAAAACAATGGGTCGTCATGGCTTACTGAGCCATAGCCTCTCCATAATCGTTCCGGCCAAAACCCTTTCTGTCATGTCATCCCCGAACATCATCTCCTGCAAATGTCATTGGGGGCAGTGAGGGGGGGGAGGTGGCGCCAGGTGAGCGAGTGAGGCGGGGGAGGGGGGACGAGCTGGAGAGAGAGATGACCATGCTATTCCGTGCCAACCCCTTGGTCACAACAGCCAAGAAAGTGGTTTCCTACTTCCGGGACCACTGGGCAGTGAACTGGTGTTCAGCGTAGCCAGGCTAATGCTCTCCTCGTGAAGGCATGAGCGGGGATTGAAGCAGCACATTTCCAGGCTCAAAGGGACCCCTGGCCACGGCAATTGGGGGACCTCCAAACCCTGGAGAGGGGGTAGGTGGCTGAGGGGAGTAGGGGATTCTGAGGTTGCTTGTGTAGCAGAATCGACTGTTCTTGTCGACTGGATTTATACGAAGGGCCCGCTTGAGAGCGGAAAGAGAAGTTGGACGGGAAGCAAGAGTAAGGGAGGAGGAAGACACTCTTTGTAGGGTGGCATGTGTAGAAGTATTTGTCATACCCAGCAACTACGGTAAATGAGAACGTACCTTGAGAATGATTGCACTTTCTTCACGGTCCATTTTGTGAATGATATGTTCTACAGAAGCTTCTTTTAGGTGTGGCACGTCGTGCCTTTCCGATGCCCTCAGCAATTCAAAGGCATTCACGGTGCTCAAGAGCGCACATAGGGGCAGCTCCAGGTACTGCTTCAATTCTTCCACTCCGTATTTGTCTGCAGCATTGAGAAGCTCCAATTCCTGAAAAAACAGATATCAGAAATGACATTTGTATAACAAAAAAAACCACTTGGAGAAGGCAACTAACCAAACCGCATGGCATGTTTCACCTGTTACGTAATATCTCACCCTTGATTTTGCACTTGTCATGTCCAAAACTCCTGAGTACATGAAAGCCAGTAGAAGCTTCAGTGTAGCGCGATCCATATCCTGGATCTGGACCAAGCGGCTCCTCTCTTCATCGCAAAAAAGGTGTGCTCGCAAAACGATTGCGTAGCATTCGAGCGAATGCTTTGCAAACGTTTTGCGAACATGTGGGTGAAAATTCATGGCGGACTAAGATCAGAACACTTGGCGAATGCTTGGGCAACATTTCCCGAAACACTTTTTGCTTCACGACAGCGAATGCTTAGCGGTGTTTTTTCGGTGTACTCCGTGGTTCGTTTACAAATGCATGGCGGTGTTTTTAGGAAATGATATGCAGTGAGCTTGTGAATGCATATAGAAATATATGCTGACGATTTCTATTATTCAGTATGATTCGTTGCGAACGTCTGGCGGTGTTTTTTATGGATCCGTTTTTGCAGCCTGCGGTTCCCATTACGGCATGGTTCAGTACAATTAGGGCTCGTCGTTTGGATTTAATTACTGTAAAAGCTGCTAATAATATGTTTTATTAAAATAACATCTACACCACAGTACACAACCACGATGGCCCAATCGCCCTTGCGTGCCAGCACCCCTTGGGTTCCCACCAATAACCAGCTTCCCAACAGCATACTAACCCCCATCTCCGTGGCAGCTGGTGATGCGACATTTCCGGTAGGGCCACTACTGTGCCTTCAACCCACGTGCCGCTAGGCCTGCCTACTCCTGCCGCTGTTGATTGCCCGCCATCTCCCATGATGGCTGCCCATGTCACCTACCGCTACTACACTGACACCCTGTCCGCTGCCTCCCATGTCTCTGCCTGTCCCTGCGTACTGCTCACGCGTTCGCCCATGGTGCTGCAAAGATCCACCGTAGAGGCCCGCCTGAACCTGCCCCCCTTAAAACCTTCAAGTACACAATTCCTGCCCTCTGCCCGTGAAGCCACCTGCACCTGCTATGGCCCAACCTTTCAATCTGCGTCACGTCCTGTTGCTGCTGCACTCTCACCCAATCTGCCTTATGATGCTACTATGCGACTTGACAACTGCTTCGGCTTCAAGAACTACCCCGGCCAGGACCCCTGGCCGCTGGCGGCCTTGCTGCTCTGATCCAGACCCACCTTCTCCGTGTCACCACCCCTCACCCCTTTGCCCCCTGCTCCTCCTCCTTACCCCTGGTCGTGGCCTTGCCATCCGCTTTCATGCCAGTCTTCCCTTTCCTGTCCTTCCACTCCTCCTCGAACCCACTCTCATGGATGTACAGGCCGTGCTCCCCCCACTTGAACCCCTTCATTTCCCTGTTGTACTCTCTTGGGTGCTCGTCAAACCACTCAATCACCACCTGGCGCACGAGCTTGCGAACGGCCTCGACCCATGCCTTGTTCTTGGGGTGGGAGTTGGATAGGGCCATTGTCTGCGTCTTGACGCGCGCCAGCCCGTAGTCGACCTGTCATGGCCGGGGGGTTGGGAAAGGGAAAGGGGGGAGAGGGGTTGGGGGAGGGGCCTATGTAGGGGGAAACAATGTGATCACAAGCGGCAAACGATCCATGAAGCACCCCATCAAGGCACATCCCACAGCCTGAACTCACCACCATGAGGATCCAGGCAACGTGGTACGCCTTCAAGCACAGCTTTGCGCCCTGTCGCCACTGCCCAAACCCCTCCACAGCCGCGTCGAAGAAGAGCAAGTTGGCGAAGGGCTGGCCGCTCTCCTCACCCTCAAGTGACTTGGCGTTGCCCCACGTGCTAACCACTTGGCCGAGCTCCTCATTTGGTGGGGTTACAAGAGGGTAGCATGCGCGGGAGTGGGGTTCAAGGCCGTCTCCAAGGGGCCATGCACACCATGGTTATAAGAGGCATGCATGGGCCGAAACAGCAAGTCACGTCACTCACCTGGCCTCAAGGCCCTCCACAATTTCCTCTTGACCTTCAGGTCAAGGAGGATCTTGCAGGCGCGGGACCACTTCATCTTCAATCCCAGCGCGGTTAGTACGAGGCGCTTGATGGCAAAGGCGCGCTCGTTCTTCCAGACCGTCCATACGCGTTTGAACGGCTTGTTGTAGTTCTCATTGTTGAGTGACTCCAGGACCTCCACAAGAGTCACGTTGTAGCCCAGTGACACTAGGCCGCGATGAAGCACGCGGCAACGGGTCTTGTGGTTTTCGTAGAAATCGATGACCGCGTCCGGGTTGTGGATGCATATTTCGTCTCGCATTGCCTCATAGTGGATCTGTAATGGAGGGTGGGGAGGGCCAACAGGGAGAAGGGTGGGTGTGGGGTGGGGTACTAGAAAAGGGGGGTTTGGGACCGCGGTTGAATGTGGGGCTGGCGAACACGTGTGGCGGTGCCTGGGGTGTGGACTGACGGCTAGCAGGAGTCGGAACAAACAGTCACAGCCATGGGTTTAGGCATTGGGCTGGCGATGCAGCACCGGGCAGCAACCGAGACGTGGTGAGCGCTGAGGGATCTGGTGGCTTGGCGGGCGGGTACAGCGGCCGAGGAGGTGGGGCCGGGGGGGGGGGGGGGGGGAGGGGAAAGGTGGAAACGGAATTTTAGGGTGGGCTGCCTGTGGGAGGGTGGGGTTGGGATCCAAGTGGGGGACCTGTCAAAAAATGAATAATGGCGTCACACACGTGACTCACCGGGATGTTGCTCACGGAGGGCATGCCTCGACGCCTCGTCCGGGGGCGGTTCCCCCCCACGCTCTCTCCGACCGCCTCGTCGTGGTCACTAGACGCCGACGCCAAGCGGGGAAGGTGCTGCCCCCGCGCCCTCTTGAGCTGCAGAATCTCGATAGCCGCCTCGCGCAGAAGGCTGAACATGCTTGCGGCGGACAAGTCGCGCGGCATCTCCTCCATGCAGGCCAGGGACTCCCAGGTGTAACCTCGAGTGTTAATCTCGCCCTCAAGCGTCCGTCTCCGTTTTGCCTCCACGTCGGCATGAACCCGCGCAGCGTCGTTCGCGGGTCGCTTAAGGCCAGCAGCATCCACTCCTTGGTCGGGGCCGCTTGCTCCACCCTCCCATCCACACTCGGCCGCTCGTCCATCTGATCGTCGCGACGGCATGCCCCATACCTGTGACGCATCCATGCCCCCGCCCCCCCCCGGCCGCTCGTTCGAAGCGCCTCGGGGGTGTAGGACAGCGGGGGGGAGCGGCTTGAACGGTGAGGCGCCGCCCAGGGTGTTTTCAACATCGCGTAATGTGGTCGGTGTGTTGCGGCCGTTGTCAAACTCCCTCATTCCGTCAGTGAGCCAAGGCCGCCACACGTGTGCAGGCGCTGCCTCTACGGATGTTTGCTCAAACCGCAACTCCCGCCCAGTGGCATAGCCGGACTTCTTTTGTCTTTCACTGCTGCCATCAGCCTCCACCGCAGCCTCCCTCTTCACACCCCTCCTGTCCAGCTCCCCGCATTCCTCTGCCGGCAACGCCTTGTCGGTTGCATACGCCGGAAACTTGGTGTCGCGGTAATCTGTCCGCCGAATGAGCACCGGACCTTCAGACGCAGAGCCGCTCTCGAAATCGTCGCTGCCAGCCGGGTACGGAGCATACCCATGCTTGGCGGGCCTAGCCCTAGGCCCTCCGTCCTCCCCTCCTCTCCCTTGCTTCCTCATGTCGCCACGTCCTTGCTTCCCTCTGCTCGCCCCTTTCTTCCTCTTGCCATTACTCCCCCTCCCCTTATCCTTCCCACCGTTGTGCCGCCCGACGCGCCTGTCCCTGCCGCGCTTTTTGCCGTGCTTGCGGTCGCCGTCAGACTCGCTCTCGAGGGACTCCGGCTCGCTGCTTTCGGTGCTCCGACCGTCGTAGTTGGACTCTGATGCCGAGGACTCCCCCGAGTCAGAGTCGCTGGAAGAGGACGGCGAGTCTGATTCCTCGGGAGAGTCTTCGCGCTTTTTCCGTTTCGTCTCGCGGTCGCGGCCTCTTTCGCGGCGTTCAGGTGATGGGGCAATGGCGTCGCTCTTCGCTCGACGGGTGTCTCCATCGCGACGCTCCCATTCGCCGTCCTTGTCCTTGTTTGACGGTTTCTCTGGGCTGGTCGTCGCGGCCACGGTCGCGCGGCCTTCCACACGAGCGGGAGTCTTCAAGACGGGGGCCGCAGCAGCGGCCTGCGAGGGCCTCGCGCGATCCGACTCCGCCACATTGTTTGCGACAGTTTCACCGTTAGGGGAATCATCGTGCGACGGCGGCATGGCGCTAGCAGGGGACTCCACGACGACCATCGCCACTTCCTCAACCGCCTGAAGCGCGTCTGCTGCGGTCGTGGGTGGACAATCGACGTTCATTGCGGCGCTCATCACGACGCGGTTCCGCGTCGGTGCGGCAGCTGCGGGAATGGGAGCGGCGCTCGCGTCCGCCTTCGCAGGAGGGGTGCCGGCCTCTGGGGCTGCGACCACTTTTGCTGCCTTTGTATCCTCCTCTGCTAGCGCTGCATCCTCCTCTGCTACCGCCGCATCCTTGTCTGCTACCGCCGCATCCTCCTCTGCTACCACTGCATCCTCCTCTGCATCCGCTGCAGACCCCTCTACTGCTGCTGCAGTGGCCTTCGCTGCGTTTCTCTCGGCCTTTTCCCTTACGGCCCGTTCTTTTTTCGTCTCTGCCTTGGGCTTCTTGGGGGCGTGCGGCGGTCCATCATTCCCTGCAAGGCGGTCCGGCAAGGCGCAATGTCAGGGAATGTTAAATACGAAGGCACAAAAAAACCGCCACCTGGCGGGTGGAGCATGGAAGACAAGTAGCTCACCGGGGGTGCCGACAAGATCACCTATCGGTTTCTTCCGCTGAGCCGACCTTTTCATTGGGCTACGAAGCCCGCCCGGCGCGACGTCCCCGTAAGGGTCCTCTAGGGCATCATCGTCGCCATCCGGCTCGGAAGAGTTGGCGTCACTTTCCAGCCCGTCGCTTTTCTTCACCGAAAGCTTGTTTGCTTTCCGGTATTCACGGACCGCTTCTGCAGTTTCCTCTCTAGTAATCTTCCGTTTTTTCCCCCTCCATTTACCCCTGGCAGGCACCTCGCCTGAGCCACTGTCGTAGTCCTTTAGATCTACGCGCTCCTTACGGCGCCTATCTCCGCGTCTGACTTCGTCGCGTGT